TTGTTGTTTCATTGTTTTCAAACGCCGATAAGTGAATTATTAATTCACGTTTCTAAGTCAACTAATCAAATTTGGACGTAACTATTTTTTTATATTTCATTTTTTTGGTTTGTTGAGATCTTAATTTGACTTATCGACATAGCTTAATCAAATCGGGCTTTTATTAGAGAAAAATATTAAATTGAGAAAAAGTATTGCAAATTCAATATTAAATATTTTTAAACGTACTTGCAAACCTAACTATGATACCGTTCGGTTATTATCTATATATATAATTTTTAGCAAAGTATTAAATAAAACCTAATAAATTTTATTTAATAAATATAACTTAATAAATAAAACCTACTTAATTAATACAAAAACTATTATATTTTATATTAATAGAGTAATAATTATATTTTTTATTGTGTTGTATAATGGCTATTATTAAAATTAATAATTATATTTTACACTAAATGATATATGAAAGGTACATAAACATACAAAATTATATTGTAAAAACTTTTTGTTCAAGTTATTTATTCTAAAATTAATATTATATTTTTTTATTTGATTAAATAATTATTTTTTAAGTAAATTAATTTATTTTAACGTCATCATAAAATTTCTTAAATTTGCATAAGCAATTGTTATAGTAAATGTAATATTTTTCAGCTAATTAATTAGTCATGATCCCTCAAAATTATAAAAATTACATTATTTATTACATTATGCTATCAATATAGTAATTCATAAGCAATTAAATCGTTATGTATTGTTTACTTTAACTAATGATCAAATTTTATATACCGTTATCTGACTTATAATTTTAATATTATACGCATAATATAATTTATTAATACTTTATGTTTAAAATATAATATTATTATCTAACTTATAATTTTATATTATATACATACAAATGGCTTATAATACTTTATTTATATATGTACAAATAGACAAGGTCGAATACTAATTTATATGAATTAATATTGAAATTGAATGTATGTTGACTAAATGCAGAACAAAATTAATCAACAAAAGTTCGACCTAAGAAAAAAGGGAAAAACACGAAAAAAAAGTTTACTTTAAAAATAATTTTATAGATATTTGTTTGTTCTTTTGAGGTACAAATCCAAGATTCTTTCAAAAAGAAAAAGAAAAAAATGATTACTTTTTTTTTTAAAAAAAAAAAAAGAAGAAAACACGCACATATATATATTGTTCTAAAGTTTCTACATTGCAAGTCAGGTTTTGAATATTTGTAGTTAAATAATCCAACCTCGATCCGTTTTTTTTTCTCTCAACAAGACAGGAAGTTCATATTTTAATTGGAAAAAAATTAAATTATTTGGAACAAGATGGGTTATTTTCTAAAAAGAAAAAAGGAAATAAGAATTTTGGAATAATTAGTTGGTGGGTGCTATTTGGGAGTTTGACTATTTAATTAAAAGTAATTCAAAATTGAGTTTAGGATTATTCCAAAACAAAAGGAGACATTTTAGTTATTAAAAATAATCTTATGATAATGTTGAGAAGATTCTTTTGATTCTACGAGCGTGTGAAATTTTTTATTATATTGCTGGTGAGCCGTTTCATAAAACTGGCAGCTTTGCAAAAAGGTCCTATTTTAATTTAATTATTTTAGTGCCATATATAGTGAATGAAATAACGACCACGTGTACATAGTTATTTTATGACCTTAATCTACACAAAACCATGTTCTCTTGCCCATTAAAAAACTGCGTTCTAGTGCTTAGACAACCTGCTCGAGTTTTTCTACNTTCTTTTTAATTGTATTATAATATAATATATGGTCTTTTAATTCAAGACTAAATTCTAAACATTAGTGCTTTGGTAAATTTGTATATGTTTTATTCAAATTAGATACTATATGTTAAGTAGGCTTCAATTTTATTTTTTTTTCTTTTTCTGAAATTATATTCCTACTCCTATATATAGATGAATGGTAATATATAGGCAAGTGAATATGATGAACACGACACGAATAATCCTGAATTATAATCAAATAAAATCGATAATGAAAAAAGGAGATAGTAAAGCACAAACATGACAATATAATTTGCCATACCCCTATACTTTAGGCAAAATATACTCCAAGATTAGTGATGTAAGTTACAAAAATTGCATAGCAGTAAAAAAAAAGGTACTACAAAAATCTTATTCTGTAAAAAATAAGGAAGTTGTCTAACTATATAAAAAAATAGTTTTTTATCAGGTTGGTATATATAGTGTTAGGCCATTTGAATTAGATATTCTTTTGCGTGTAATTTACTATATGACTAATCAGTAAGTTCAAGCGAAATTTCAGCTATCAACTATCAACTCCTCTATATCAGCTCTCTCAAACCAAGAGAGCCCTTAATAAATATATTAAATTTTGGGTCAAAATAATAAATATATAATTGTTAAAATACATACATTCTACATTGCATCGACATAATTAACAAATTATATTTGGTATTGATAGAAGAAAGGTGTTTTAATTACACTAATTAGTTAATTTGTAGTGTGAAGGTTTTGACTCTTGACACCTACTTTTAAGATATCTTATGAACAAAGAAATAGTTATATATTTATTTAGTAGTCCAATAATTTGACTAATGTGCAAATCAAAGGATAATATAAACTTAACCGGCCATCAACTCTCAACTCGTACGTATGCAAGTAAAATAATTTTTACATGTCTTCATTTATAATATTATTCCATTTACTTTAAATAATTTACAAGATATAACTGAATCAATTTTAGATAGTGGTTTTACATAGCTTTTAGGATCCTAATATATAATAATTAATTTTGAAAAAGCTCAAAAATATAGAAACTTAATAGAATAGAGAATTAATTACAATTTCACTTGCCTATCGTTCCGAAAAAAAAAAAATTACAATTTCACTTATATATAATTACATTTCAAACAGCTAATACTGTATGCAAAATCAGTAAATCCAATCAACTAGTTAAATATGTTAATTCAATCTTATATATATCCACTATCAGTTTAGCTAATTCATTAAGTTATCTCTAATTAGGTAATTGAACCCACAATTAGCTTTCACTATCCAATAAATGCAACCAAAAAATAGCCAACTACTGAAGTAAAGTTTGAAAGAAATCAATATTATAGAATTGAATTTGTGCCTCCTGCAAGAACTGCAACTAAATTTGGCATGCAATTACAATTAATTATAATACAAAATTATGTGGCAAATACTTTGTAATAATCACAATTACACAAATAATTGATGGGAATATGATCATAAGTTGATATTATTGGTGGTTTGGTACGTGCAAACAGACAAGAAAGAACAGATCAACTTGTTTTTCCTTTATATCTAATCATCAAAACACAACAACAAAACCTAAAATCCTGCTGAAACTACTCTGTAAGGTGTTTATGTATTCATATCAGACAAATTTATGACAATTCATATATATTTGTCCTACTTCTACATTTTTCTTATTTTTCTCATTTATTTTCTGAATTAAATTCCCAAATTTATGTATCATTAATTAGTTTTTCAGTTGGGTAACCATATTTTTTGAACCATACTTTAACTGATGATTATTGTAAAAAAATAATATTTTCTTTTCAAGTTTTTAGGTATGTATATTTTTTAATCGGTAGTTATTTTCTAGTATGTCTAGTAGCTAGACAGTCATATTCTTTTAATAAATACACTTACTTTCATCTAAATATTTTACTTTAATATATATATATATATATATATAATTATTCATGTAGTTATACATTTTTTTGTAAGAAACTCTGGTTGTCTATGTTAGGCAGCTTAACAACATGTGCCATTTTAAATGTTTAAATGTTTTTATTAATATTATTATTATTAAAGTGATCAAATAAATAATTAGTATTAGTAAGAAAATCATATATAATTACAACTCCAAAGTCTAATCATTTTTTTCTTTTTTGGGTGGGGGGAATTAAGGGGAAAATTATTTCACACTTTCTAGGTGAATAATCCAGCACAATCTTCAATCCAAATAATATACCACATTAGTTGGTAGCTTTTTTAAGTGAACAAAAGAAAAAAATCATTACAACTGATTAGTTTGGAACCTATATTTTAAGTTCATAATCATTTTTTGGATTCCAATTTGTGTTTACAGCTTAATTTTTAGACCGTAGCTGAGGTTCACCTTTTATTATTAATGTATTGTGTGTCATTTTCTATAATTTAGTCACACAAATATGAGATCTCAGAAATTTCTCCTATCCAAAATTCTTATCAATCCAACTCACACCAATGTTCTAACTTTAAACAAATGTTCTAACTACACATATAATCTAACAAAAAATATAGTAACATAATAAATGGGACGAGGATCTATTTTCTCTTTACAATGTAGATATTCACATATCTAAGTTCTGACACTTGGATTTTATTCGCTCGTTATTCACTAGTGCTTCATTTCATCCTTCGCTTCTTAAAGTTTAGCTTTAGATCCCAATTTTTTCTCTCCAATTTTTCTTTTTTTAATAGAAACTCGATTTTTGGGTATCTATATATATATAATTGCTGGCTCATGAGCATTTAATAAAACCTATTAAATTATACTTATGCAGCAATATAACTTTTTTCTCTCCAAAAACCGTTATTTTTTTTATTTATTTAACCTCTCATTTAATTATTAGATAATCAACACACTAATTACTTCAAAATTACAAAAAACATTTTAAACTTTTGATTTACTTACTGCTGACCATATAATGTGTTGACTATTTAACGTGATTAGATGTCATTGTTGTGGTTACATTTAAATTACCTTCTTTTGGAAAATAAAAAACGTATTTGAAATTCCTAAATAAACAACACATAATTCACAAAAACAAACACATACCAAATATACATTACATCCAATATGATAAATGCAATTTAAAAAAATAAATATTCCAGCTCCTGAAATAAAATAATTATTAAGATTATGTTAAGGATAAGCATTACAAAATTCTGTACAAACTGTTTTTGAAAACATGGATAGTACGCTGGCGAGATTCATGTAGTTGATCTATTGAATATTGAATTTAATGCTCCATCTTTTATTTCTATTTATATATATATAGATTATGACATATATGGATAATATTTGATTTTATTTAAATGTGTTTTATCCGGAATTTCAAAAGAGTATGATATAGAGACTCGGCGAAACAAGTCAATCTCTTATTTAATAAGAGATCAAGGTTCACTTTCTAACAAGACATCTCTTGATTATAGTATATTATAGACAATTTGGTGTCTATTAAGGCGTCGGTCGGGCATTGTCAAGCGTTGTTTTGCAGGTTGATCAAATTTATGACTCGAGACATTTCGATACGAGGCAGTTCGAGCAGAGATCCTGATGGATCTATATTGCGTACGCATCACCTACAATATTTCATGAATAAAATAATGTTATGGGATTTATTAAATTCTTGTCCATATGTAAATGCTATCAAGAAAGTGAAAAAAAAAAAGAAAAAAGAAAAAAAAAAATAATTTGATGGATAGAGCACGTGAACATCATAGTAAAAGGGGATTGAGTACTACACAATCAAACAGACTGTTGCATGTTAATTGGGGAAAGATATCAGCTTTTTACAGAGAGCCATTTGGAGATGATGTATCATATCATATGGCTTGAAAATCTTGAAACTTTTTTTTTTGGGATATTTTGTATAGTATACAAGACAAATGAGCAAAACGAGTGGTGGCTATCCTTTTCTTTTCTTCTCACACAACAATTTTATTATTGCTCGAAATGTCCCTATCATTTCATATACATCACATTTGCTATGCAAAATTAAACACATAATTTGTTCATTTCTTTGAACCAAATATGACATGCACTGATTAAATATTTCAAATAACATGTGTATGCATGCAAAATTTACACAGGTTCCATGTCTTATATTTTATATTTATATAGAAACTTTGGTAACATATATTTCATAATTTACTAGTACAACACATCTTTGATAATTTATTACTACAAGACACGTAATTACACTAATGTTAATTAAGAAATTTATATTTAAGTTTACAAAAAAAAAAAAGGAAGTCTTTATTCTAAATTTTAAATAATTTAAAAATGCATTATTATTAAATAAACTTACGTAGCAAAAAGAGTTAAACACATGCTCAAGAAACTCTGCATTAATATATATTAATTAATATATAGTGAGGGAATACGAGCTCAAGAAGAAAAAAAACATGAACTTCAAGAATCAATTTAACTCATGCTACTCCATAAGTTACCATTAAATTTACAGCAAAACAGAATCACATAAATCTAAAGAATCTTCCAAATTGCGAATAAGAGCTATTTATATATGCTTCTACTACAAAGCCATATATAGTAACAATGGCACAATACAGTCCTTCGCTTCTACTTAGACGAGCTTAACACGCAAAAATGCGAGCGACAAAAAGAACGAACAAAGCCCTTCTTCTTTCTTCCAAAAAAAACACGAAGATTTTGTACTGTTACGCATTACACGGAAGGGAAATATTTGTTGAGATTAAATGGAAGAGAGTAAAATTCCTCACTCCTTGTGTCGGTTTTGAAAGAGCGAAACTTATCCCACCAATGCTTGCCCCTATCTTTCCTTATCTGACCATCCTTTTTGTGCATTGTGTTGTCCAAGAAAAACGCCACTATAGCCGCAACAAAAGCCTCCGAGGAAAATGGGACATTGATGATGTCGTTGAACTGTGAAAATAAACAGGGGAATTTAATTAGTTTCAAAAGAAGACTTGAGCTTTTTT